AATTAATTTACCCACTGTGCTACTGCCTTCACTTTATAATGCGAAAAGGTCGCGTTTTAAGGAAACAGACACGTGAACCTAATCAAGATTTGTAAACATAACAAAGTTTTCACTGGCACCTTTGTATAAATTAAAAATCAAAAATCAAAGAAAGTTGTAGAATTGCTATGTAAGGTGATCTTTTGAAGTTGCAAAGTGGTAAAGCATTTGATTTGTAATTGCACATTAAAATGGACAGGCAAGTATCGGATGCTGCAGAAATTGCCCGCATTACCTACCTTCCTGAAAGTTGGTCGTAAGGAAATTAATTTGCACCTCAGGTCAAAGGCTACGTTATGGGATGAGATGTATAAGAAACCACAAGTCAATTTCACCGACTTCCGTGTATAAATTAAAGAGCACTATAAATATACTTACAAGTTTTCTTCGCGATTATTCATCATGTGTTTACTTTATTTTAATACCCTTCAGTAAAACGACTTTCGGATTTATAAAAAAAACCGATTTGGATTATTTTTTATTTACTCCTACGACGCTGTACAGGGCTGACTGTATAGATGTTCCTAGGGAGTATGCATTGTAACGAATGTTACAAATTTTCTTTTTCTCCTACTTCTTCTGGGGGATAAAATTGGGCGTGGTTCTTGTTGGGTATTAAATTGATATGCTTCGGCTGCTCGTCGGTTAATAACCCTCTTCTGGCCTCAAGCATAAGGGGTCTTATTTTAAATAGAACACTCTATATTTGATTGCATTTTCGAAATGTACATGAAAATCTACATACCACATTTCCCTATACCCAGTATCAAAGGTTTTCAAGTTATTCAAGATTTTTCAAAATTTTCGTTTGACTGCTTTACTTTAGTGTCCTGTGCCTATGGCTCCGTTGACTTGAATTTCAAAATGTTTTCCAAAATTGAATGCATTTGCGAATGATTTAAATTTTGATTGTCCTTCTACAGGGTGTTTTAAAATTAACGGTCAAGTTTAATAACTTTTCAAATGAAACCTGCTTTATTTTTTTTCCTACTTCATTTCATCAAAAGCTCTTCTCACCCTTCCAGTTCTTCACGAGAAACAGCAGGTGTAGCTTTGTTCTTTATAAGACCCCACACATAAAAGTCGAGTGGCGTTATAGCCGGAGATCAAGACGACCAATACCGCGGATCTGTGGGCCTAATCCACCTGTTTTCAAAAATGTTCAAAGACATATGAGCACCATGGGTAGAATGAACCGGCGCTCCGTCAAGTTGAAACCAGTAGTTTTCTCCAGGTAATGTTTCCAAAGATGGTACTACTAACGCGTTTATTTCAAGGCCTCCTAAGAAAATTATGTATACCTATAACGAGTACCATTTTTTGAATATCTTAAATAAAACGAAAACCATTACAGATGGGTGTGGAGAATATAATAATTGATCGATGATTTTTTTTCGACATTTGAAAGTGCAAAAAAATAAAGCAGGTTTCATTTGAAAAAATCAACTTCTTAAGGTTTGAAGTTATTAAACTTGCCCATTTATTTTAAAACACCCTGTAGAAGGGCGATCAAAATTTAAATCATTCGCATGTAGCATTTTCAAAAATCTTGTATAACTTGAATACTTTGATGCAGGTTATAGGGAAATGTATCAAACGACGCAGATTTTCGTGTAGATTTCGAAAATGCAATACAGTACAGGGTGTTCTATTTAAAATATGAAAGTTGCTATCCACATCCGGTACAACCGGAAGTGAAACGATCGTGACAATATTTCTTTTGACAGATTATAAAAAACTACGTTGGCATGCAAATTTTCAGATTTAAATTATTTAAATACTTCTAGGGAACGGTTTGCGTGAAACAGCCTGTATAAAGTTTATACTAATAAACTACAATGAGCCTGATCTACAAAGAATAATTCGACAAGATAATATACAACGAGGCGATTATGACACAAGTAATTGTTTATAAATACCTCGTTTGTTCATGCACTAGGGGTTGCTTTCGTGGATGCTTCGCTGTGAAGTGTCTTGATCGGCCCTCGAAACTTGGACATAGTTGAAGGTACACGGACTGACTGTAGAATCGAGGCGTGGCTTTCCGTTGTTCAAATCGGCTCAGCCGTTTCGAAAATACAGGGTGTTCTTTACAGTAACCTTTGAATAACTCCCACCACTTCATTTTTAGAGCTACACCAATAATTATCAAACAAAAAAGGTTCAGATTATGATCGACTTCAAAGACCGAGCACTTTTTTTGTTAGGTTAATATAGCGGAATTCACAGAAACATCACTTTTTTAGATTCCAGATTGCAGTTACGCCCCCTAGCGGCCATTTCAGGAATTTAAAAATATTTTCCAGGTTTTTCTCGTGGCCGTTTTAGTAATAACTTTCTTTACCGCAAGCCTCTACGATGGACAGGTTCCCACATACAGTACCTCGCATTCTTATTTGGCCACCCTGTACTTAATTTTAATTGTAATTGTTAGTTTTATTGGGACTTGTATTGACTTCAGCTATTTGTAACTAGGGGTAGGTAACCCTTAAATTTGTTTATGTTTTTGTTTCACTTTAAATGGTATTCTGATTTTAATTTTTTTAATATTGCCCAGATGTCAATGTTCCTTCGATGTTTAAACTCGTTTAGTTTGATTAGCGACTTCAATTCTTTGTGTATATGCCTTTTTTTTAACTGTTTCGTGCGTGCAGAGGTAAATGCTGGAGTATTAAAATTATTTAATGGCATTCCTCTTGAAATACAATTTAAGTCTAAGGTTACCGTATCCAGGATCCCCAGATACCTTCGGGATTGGAGAAGTGCCCGCTAATTAACAAAGTATTTCATTTACTTTATGCAAAAGACTAGGAAATGTTATTTTTCACAAATGGGAAAGGAGTGGAGTCGCTTTTAAATCTATTTGAGCTGGCTAATTTTAAGCATATCAGTTTTGTATTAGGTTAAAGTCAGGTTTAAATTATTGAAATTCAAGAGTTACTTCCTCGGATTGTTAATTTTGGTATATTGCACATATTACTCCAGATTTTTCAGATATTTACCCTCCGTGAACAATGTTTCAGAATTTTCTTCGGACTGTAACTGTAAACTGTAAAAGAAAGCTTCGTAAATAGAACAATAGTCACTCTATAATGAGGTTTAATTGTTTTTCTCATTAAGTACTGGAAGGGAGGTTGACAGAATCTCCCGGGAGATATACTGATGCTATTACTACTTGAGCTTTACCCTGTATGTCACAGCTTAACTGTATAATTGTGCTTTAAGGTGGCTAGGAACATAAAATACATGTTCTACGTTTTTCTTGCCGTGTATCAAAGAAAACGGTTCCTTTTGTGCCCCCAAGACCAGAAACCCTTGATTTAACAACCCAAAGTTCTTGATTAAGAGCAATGAGGCGTCTGCCTAAAGTAACAGCAGTCGCCCTACAGTGTTGCAGGTTTATTTGTATAAAATTCTCTTTTATCATGTATGTAGACCAGCATTTCCCAAACGAACATTGAATGGGTCCCGAGAGGGCCCCTAATGTGCGATTCGCCACTGATATGAATAAAGGAAAATGATAAATATAATGTTTCTTTCAGTTATTTATAATTACCCACTAAAAATTAAAACAACTTAAGTTGCGAAAAAAAGCTAAGAGGAGGGCCCCAGTTTGGAAACTTTGGGAACCACTGAAATGTACACAATATCTGTATATCTTTTATCCGGCGTTGCTAGAATCAGACCCCAATATTCGCAAACTCATCCCAGTTCGAGATTGGCCGGGGTGAGTTGCTAATCCTGGAGCTTCTTGTAGTTGCCCCTGTAGCGGCTGCTAGTGTTGTTGTGGTGGTTGTACTGACGTACTCTGCACCTCAGGTTCGGCAGGGTTACTAACCCTCACCTTTAGAGAGGACCCATAACTGAGCTTTCCCCCGCTGGCGGTTAGGTTAGCCTGGTCCTTTTCTTCAAAGGCGAAAGGTTGATCCCTCACGGCTGTGTGAAAGAGACGCCAGAATTTCTGAACCTCCAAGCGCCGCTTGCGAGGCCGTTTCACCGCCACAAGGTCGTCAGGTTCCCTCGGGACCCAGATGGTAGCCGTGCGGAGCCTAGGAAGGCTGTCTTCCTACGCATACCTTTAGTGCAGCCTCACACAATTGTACCTACTTCAACCATTCAATGGAAATGTTGTTTTTGCGTTAGGATCTCACCAGAGTATCTCCAACCCCTGAACGTGGGTGCTAGTGTATCGCCTCTTAGGGCGAACATATGCTGGTCAAGAAGCTTGGTCAAGTGATTTTGTACCATATCCGCATGGAAAGCCTACCGAGAGGGTTATTGGTATCTATTGAGTCGGTGTTGCTCCAAGTACAAATTTGCGTTTTAATTAGGCAAAACAACAGCAACAAATTAAAACATTAAAAATCTGCTCAAAAAGGTATCTTTGGTCTTAAAGAAAATATGGTGTGAATGTGACTTTGCCATGAAATTTGTTACATTTGTGTCGGAGAAAAAGCAAATAAAAACTTAATTGGCTCTATCAAAACGTATTCAGTTAATAAAACATTTATAGCTGTTGTAAAACGCAATGAGTTTTGCTATTTTCCCAACCAAATTTTTAATGAAACCGTCACAAGAAGCAAATCGAATCTTCCGAAGAAAGTACATTCAACCTTCAAATCACCAACGATCATTAGGATTGAGCAAAATTTGCAGATAGATATCCACTTGGAGCGATTACAAAACGAGACCCATTGTTAAATCGCGGCTCGCTTTAACTCAATTAGTTGCTTACATTGTTTGCCGAACGAGTAATTCTGTTAATACTAATTAAACAGGCGCAATTAAGATGTCCTAACTAACGTTATGCAAATTCATTAACGTGTAACGAAATGAAAAATGTTACTACTTCGCTCGGTGCTCGCTTAAAAAATTTTAACCGGCGCATATTATCCTTGACGAAATTAAACTTATATGGCCATTGTTTGAAATGGGTAAAACATTTCACGCAATACGCCTTTGCTTTTTATCAGAAATCGGATTGCGCAAATGAAAATGATTTCGTTTCGTACGTAGGTGTGATTTATAAGGAGTCACTTGATGGGAAATTTATTGTTTCAGTGAGATGATGATGATGATGGACTATGGGTCCCAGTTTACGGGATCCACTATCAGTTCGGATACGATGTCCGGAAGTGTCGGGAGTGTGCTACCGCGTATACGGACGGTGCGTTTGGTGCGACCGTCTTCTGGAACGTTACCGCCGCCCAATCTGACTGCGAGGTATGGTCCGAATTTGGGGTTCAGTCTTCGTGGTGGCAGGGAGCACGGGAGCGGATTTTATGTGTCGGTAGTGGACCCGGGATCAGAAGCACACAGGCAAGGATTAAAGGTAAATGTTTATACATACTTTTTTCAATGGAGATTGGAGATCCTCTGGGTTTTGGTAGTAAGAGACTAAGAATTCGTTACCCAGAACGTTATAATGGAGCCTCCCCTCTTTTTGTTGGGTAGGTTACACCATACCATCAATAACGTCGATAATTAATCGACAACTGACGTCTTAGATTAATTAATTATTTCATTAGTGTTCACATTCTGGCAGCGCCAAACAATGAAAACGATAATTGGGATGAAATCGCGTTCGGTTGAGAGCAAAAGTCGAGAACCGTTACAAAAAAGTTAAAGATTCGTGTTTGAAACGCTTGAAATGGTTCGCAACTTTCGTTATTTTCATCTCAATCTCTAATTATCTTGTAAGTACACGGGCTCTTGTTAGCAAATTCTGTTTCTAAAGCAGGTGTTCCTCGCTTCATCGGAAGAACCGTAACATTTCGTCACGACGTTGCACCTTCACTGTTATTCTATTAGAATGAATCGCCGATTTTATTTTTATAAGCGAGTCCTTTCCATTTTTGGACCGAAAGTGTGATGGAATTTCTAATGTGATGCTAGATGTACCTACCCGTGTACCGTTTGCTACTTAACGGGTTACTTTGTCGTACTCTTTGTTTCGCAATCTCACGAGTTGGTCCACGCCGAAAGTTCTGTTATGCGACGATTTATTCTTACTCGATTTTGGCGATGAATGGATTATCTCTTGATGGATAAACGACGATGGAACTAACAGAAAGACAATGAGTACATTGTTAGCGACTACAAACAGCCACCAATCACTGACTGGTCCAACAATCGGAAAACGTGCCTCGTCAAATAAAATAATAATGACGGCCGAATTGTTAAAAAATTAAATAACTTGAATAAAATAAAAAGATGAGGGCCCATGCGTTATTTATAGACACATCGATCTTATAACTCGACGATATGAAGTAGATCATCCAAAATCCTTTGCCGAGATCCTCGCAGAAAATGACCATTTCCGATGTATTGAAAAAGTTTAAAAAGTGAGCTGGTTTCAGGTTACATTTCTTTCCCAAAATTTTTCTTATTGGTTATTTCCAATGTAAATTTCAAAATAACCAAGTTCGTGGCCACGATTTATCGTGAATTACCCTTAATTTTAATACAAAGAAAGAACGATTTTTTATGCAGAATGATGATGGACCAATGAATTTGGAAATTGTCTACCTTGAACTTGAAACCAATCAACTTTAAACGAGAAACGGATTTTCTTATCAAATCCAATTTTCATGGGTTATTCATAAGCGATAAAAGTACTTGCAATGTTTCTGAAGAAGTGGAGAAACCAATTCATACGTTAATACACAACACCATTGTAGTATTTAAACAATGACAACACTTACTGACTTGCAAAACAAACGGTTGATATCTCTAAGAAATCGCAGATCTAAATTTTTTTTAACCAACTAACAAACACTTTAACCATCAATCATAAATTATGACGATTTTTCTTATAGATATTTAACCCCGAATTTGACATAATAAATAAATGGTTTATTGGTTACCACTGTGACTCGGCGTCCTTATAATGATACAGAGGAAATAAGTCCTGAAGCTTCTTCCTATGGTAAAATCCTCCAGCGAAATCAGAAGTTCTAGGGAGTAGTTTTTTAAAACAGTTAATCCTTCTATTTACGAATTACAAGCATGTAAGCGTCGGGAACGGTTGTAATTGACTGGCTTTAGAAATGAGTGTGAACATAACTTTTATTCGTACCAAAGGAGAAATTTGTTATCTAACCCGGGCGTTTTTTCACTTTAACTTTCGGTTAATGTGTTTTCAACTGCATACTAATTTCGTATTCCAACCATCAAGTTTAATCCCCTTTTGTTCACAAAGGGTTTTTTTGTAGATCCAGCGCGTTTAATTTGAACGTACACGATTTCAATTTATGTGATGAAAACGCGTATTTTGCAATGAGGTTTTAATGTCATCTGGTTACGCAATATGTAACTCCCTTTATTGTGTAATAAATGACACAGTCCCTTAATCCCCTTCTAGGTAGTAATTGTTCCTACTGTAAAACTGTCGTAACTTGCGTTCAATTAAGCTGGAGTTTTCTATTATGGCCGAAAAACACCGACTTTCGCTCTTGATGAATTCCGCACAAAATACTTAGCGACGAAAGCTACGTGGTTATGCCTTGGTGGTTCCCAACCCGCGAAATAATCAAAATTTTTAAAATTAACTGATCGCATGGTCTCCCTGCGTGCTCAACCACGAATCTGTAACATTTTTCCCTAAAACTAATCCCCTCTACTCCTTATTAATTAAAGAACGTCTACAGAATGGCTTCTTATTAACACCGACGGCCATCTTTACTCTTTAATTCATGTGTTTAATTCCCTCCCTACGAATCGGGCAAGAGTCAGGGCAATTATTCCTTTCCAAATACGACCAACAAGTATGCTACGTTCCACAATGCTGAAATGACCTCATGCCGAATTCGCAGTTAGCCATAATTAATATTAAGATCCAAATCACCGAGATCTTGGCTTCAGACATCTGGAATACATTAATAAAACAATGCGCTATAGACCTTAAACGACGCAGAAAGGACAATCTTTAATTATATCGAAAAAAAAGACCAGACCCAAATTTTGAACCACCGTTACAATGACTTTGATTCAACAATTATTCAGTATACCACTTGATACAGTTAATTTTTTATTAATAACTGTAACAACAATAATTATAGACGCGCGTCTATTATTTATGGCATGTATAATTGTTTTTCAAAGTCCACAATAATAAAGCTGTAGATAGCAAAAGAAAAATCATATTTGAAATATGCCAGGACAATCAATAACCAGGCGTTTTTTTTTCTAAAAAACAAAAATCGCATTACGTTTGGATTCCACCTTATATTTCGAGGAGTAATGGGTACCTATAGCAGCAAAAGTGAAGTCAGTTGACTATACAGGGTGTTTCATAATTGAATGTCAATCTTTAAGGGGGCGATTTTTGGGTCCATTTTAAAAATAAAACTTCATACGAACCTTTGTCCTAAACGTCTAACTGATGAGAAACAGGTTGGTAAAGTTTTCAAAAATAAATCATTTATTATTATTAATATCTGTAATACCACTTTAGATATTTCAATGAAATTTGGCATGTATGTACTACATGTATCCAGAGGTATTTTTTAACGTACCTCACTATTTTAATTTCCACCAGTGGCGTTCGTACGGAATTTCACATGCCCATTTTGGCAGACATTGATGGTACGCCACTGATTTCTCTGAAAATAAAAATTATTCTTGAAATCCCCAATCATTTCTAAGTACATTTGATCCCTTTGTTTTTTTCAATCCGATAAAATCAAAAATTTGGGTGTATAGTTGGCCCCCCACTTTTTGAATTTTGAGAATATTTTTATTGCAATACAGTTTTTTGATCGTTTGTTAGTTACATTTTTACGTTTTTTGGCTGATCGTTACTTAATTATTCAAAATCAAAAATTTAGGCGTATAGTTGGCCCCCCACTTTTTGAACTTTCAGAATATTTTTATTGCAATATGGTTTGTTGGTCGTTTGTTAGGTACATTTTACGTTTGTTGGTTGATCGTTACTTAATTATTCAAAATCAAAAATTTGGGCGTATAGTTGGCCCCCCACTTTTAGAATTTTCAGAATATTTTAATTGCAACATGGTTTTTTGGTCGTTTGTTAGTTACATTCTTACGTTTGTTGGTTGATCGTTACTTAATTATTCAAAATTAAACATTTGGGCGTATAGTTGGCCCCCCACTTTTTGAATTTTCAGAATATTTTAATTGCAACATGGTTTGTTGGTCGTTTGTTAGTTGATCGTTACTTAATTATTCAAGATCAAAAATTTGGGTGTATAGTTGGCCCCCCACTTTTTGAATTTTCAGAATATTTTAATTGCAACATGGTTTTTTGGTCGTTTGTTAGTTACATTCTTACGTTTGTTGGTTGATCGTTACTTAATTATTCAAAATTAAACATTTGGGCGTATAGTTGGTCCCCCACTTTTTGAATTTTCCGAATATTTTAATTGCAACATGGTTTGTTGGTCGTTTGTTAGTTGATCGTTACTTAATTATTCAAGATCAAAATTTGGGTGTATAATTGGCCCCCCACTTTTTGAATTTTCAGAATATTTTGATTGCAATATGGTTTTTTGGTCGTTTGTTAGTTACATTTTTACGTTTGTTGGTTGATCGTTACTTAATTATTCAAAATCAAAAATTTGGGCGTATAGTTGGCCCCCCACTTTTTGAATTTTCAGAATATTTTTATTGCAATATGGTTTGTTGGTCGTTTGTTAGTTACATTTTTATGTTTGTTAGTTGATCGTTACTTAATTATTCAAAATTAAACATTTGGGCGTATAGTTGGCCCCCCACTTTTTGAATTTTCAGAATATTTTAATTGCAACATGGTTTTTTGGTCGTTTGTTAGTTGATCGTTACTTAATTATTCAAGATCAAAAATTTGGGTGTATAGTTGGCCCCCCACTTTTTGAATTTTCAGAATATTTTTATTGCAATATGGTTTGTTGGTCGTTTGTTAGTTACATTTTTATGTTTGTTAGTTGATCGTTACTTAATTATTCAAAATCAAAAATTTAGGCGTATAGTTGGCCCCCCACTTTTAGAATTTTCAGAATATTTTAATTGCAACATGGTTTTTTGGTCGTTTGTTAGTTACATTCTTACGTTTGTTGGTTGATCGGTACTTAATTATTCAAAATTAAACATTTGGGCGTATAGTTGGCCCCCCACTTTTTGAATTTTCAGAATATTTTAATTGCAACATGGTTTACGTTTGTTGGTTGGGGGGCTAACTTAACGGCATAACGGGGGCGGGCGAGAACTTTGTTAACAATGATAGCGAGCCCAGAACTATTTCTTATTTTCTGATTCAGTTTTATATTCTCTACAATTTTTATGTTCACAGAATTTGTGATGAAATTAATAGTTGAACAGATATTCATGTTTTTTCGGCGAAAACACTATCTCTTTAAGGGTTGATGCACTCCGCGGAGGGTATGAAACATTTAGTATGGCGAAGAAAGTCATTTAAGGAAATTATTGAAAAAAATCCAGCTCCATCCTCTCATTAAAAGTAGGTACGAATTCGAGCAACGTGGTTTTGTGAAAGCACTTTTATCCCCTGTAGGAGCGAGGGGTAGAAAGCAAACTAAATCACTAATATAATGGGATCAATCTCGTGGTAAATATGGCCTCCATTGACTTACCTATTGAATATTGTTATTCGATTGTAACACCATCATTTTATTGCCATATTTTTCATGCCAGTTGAGTTGCGAGTTTCTTGGTCCTGTGTTTGGATTAAAATCATTCGTGGCCAGTTAGAAACATAATAGAAAGGATAATTATCAAAGGGATTAGATATTTTCTTTGGTGGTGTTGATGAATTAGTCATGGTGTAGCTAAACTAGAAGAGATTGAAGTGTACTCAATCGGAAAAGCCAAACCTTTAAGCTCTAAATATGGAAAAACCAAAGCTGAGGTGGTTTGTCTACAAAAAATGTAAGGTATTTATTGTATTACGATATATAACTGTAACTGAAAAATACTGAAATCTACAGCCTTTTGCCGGTTATAATTCGCAATTCATTCACTGAATTAAAAAATGATCAAAGTCCTCGTGTGAGATCGAAGGGACTTCAGCGCATTTTTGTGTGGCAGATCAGTGTTTTATTAGCCAATATTGACTCCACCATCAATAAGATCTTGCCGAAAGCTACCACGTTCACTTTGTCGGTACCATTTTCTCACTTACCGTGTACTCGCAATTCGCGTTTGAAGTTTTGACTCCACCATCAGTAAAATCCTTTGGGGGTTACCATATTCCCTTCGTCGACACCCACTTCTGATCACCCGCAACAATTCGGATTTGAAGTTTCGACTCCACCATCAGTAAGATCTCGTCGGGGGTTACCACATTCCCTTTGTCGATACACAGTTCCGACGTCCCGTTCATTCGTAATTCACATTTTGGTAGATTTCGCTAAAATCCCGGCATAAAATCGTATTCAACTTTTGGGTACTTCACATAGCTCGACCTTCTATTAGTGACACGAGAAAGAGAGACCGCGATTCGCGCTGTAAGAAACTTTTGGGCGCCCAAAGTCGACTACCCCTCGAAGCGCGCCGCGCAAAAGGTGGTTTATTTCGCCCCTAGGAAAAAAAAACAAAATTCCGCCACGCAGGAGTTGTGCGCGTTGACAAGATCTTCCCGACGACACCAATTTGAAAACAATCGGAGAAAAACTGTAGAAGAAGATAGATAAAAACTGAAAAATCTCCAGGTTAGTATAATACGCTCGGGGATGGCGTCCAGATGTCGTCGACTCCAAATCTTGTAGCCCCATCCCTAACGTTCTTAATTACACGGCCCCGATAGTTACATGTACACTCCTTGTCTTTTTACAAGCGTTTTTCTACGGGCGCGCATTTACTGCCAGCCAGCCAGCCAGCCAGCCGACCAGCCAGCCAGCCAGCCAGCCAGCCAGCCAAAGTGAGATTAAAAGCTACTTTTTACAAAAAAAATTTTTTGCAAAAATGCGCTAAAAAGAACGCATGATGGCTTCGTTTCTCTTTTCCTTCTGATCATTTTCTTTTTTTTTTATTGGCAGTGATCATTTTCTCACAGCCTTAGAGCAACCGGCATGGTTTGAAATGTAACCGATTTGTAAATGGGTCTCGACAAATTAAGTATAATTATTGCATACTTCACGCCAATTCGTTTAATAATCGGCGAACTCGCGTGCACGCCACAAAAGTCCAAAAAACCGGAAACGTTTTAAACTGTCGTGGCAATTACTACTACTGTAGTTTCTAATTCATCCTGTTCTTAGAGCACAATTTGACCTTAAGTTCTTTCACCTCGCATCCTTCGAGACACCAACTTAGCCTTGCAGGCGGCAGTTCAAGTTCGAAGAAAATTGTTTTAATTGCAGATCTCGACGATACCCTTATATATGGGTCACAGTCAGAGAAAGTAACTTCGACTGTCGTGATAGATTTTTTCATGCCGTTCTTCTTTTCAGGTGGGCGATCAGATCATAAGAATCAATGGGTTCACCATCGAGGATGCCGTTCACAAGGAGGTTCTTCAATTAATCTCAAACTTTACCCACTTGGTCTTGAAAGTACGATGTAAGTATACCCATAAACGCAAGCACCAAATTAATGAAGTAATTACGATTTGTTTGTAACGAAATCGATAGCCTCCTTTCTTTTTTTTTTTGTTAAACCGAGAAAGCTGCACATCTTAAAAATGTGCGTTACAATAGCAACTTCATTATACACTCTTTAGGAATCCGTTAACTTTTTGATAATTATATACAATTACCTACTAAAACCGTCAGAAGGAAGAAAGTCTTTCTGATTTATTGATAACCCGAAAGCAAAACTGTCAATTGGCTGGCTCACCCATTGTCAGATGCGTTTTTAGGTTGTCCGTTCGATTTATTGCAGACGGAATTTGGATGTAAAACGTGTGAAAGAAACTTATTCTTACACACTTCCCGTTTCTTTAATGAAATTCTTTTAGTCCAAAATCGGGTTTTGTACACTTCCTGCTAGAAGATCTCAAGTTTAGTTTTAAGTTAAACACATTTTTTGCCAGAAGAGATTTGATATTTTATAGTCAATTAGTAGCTTATATTAGATGATCTACAGATTCGTTACGAGCTTTTGAGTGCCAATCGTAAGCTTACACAACTCGTGAGGCACTACCAAAGGGTTAAACAAGACCATACCGTTATTCTGTGGAAAAATGTTGGCCACACCATTTTTCAATGGTACAAGAATTATGTAAGCTGGAGCGGTAAGGGCTATTGATCTTCCCTTTATAGGTTTTCCTATGGCTTTAGGTAGAAATTTCTCCCTAAATATCGATGAGTTCTCCAGTAACAAAATACATGCAATACAAACGGCCAGAGATGGCTATCTTTAAGAACACATGACCCAAATTTCCCTTGATAACTTCAATCAATTATAAGTTACGTCGGTATTATACGAGGTGTTTTCAAAATATAACGGGAATTTTAAATTTAGCAGGTTTGGATAGCCCGATTGTCAATTTTTTTTTATTATATTGGTATACACGTCCCTGAAGTAAAATTTCCAGCTATATTCATTGTTTACTTTGTGTGTGGCAGCCGCTAAGGTTAGACGGATTTTTATTAGCTCACCTGTGGTGAGTCTGCCATGAGTAAAACAAAGGTTTACGAGTGGTGTAAGCGTTTCGAAGATGACGGTGAGGACGTTGAAGATGACAAACGCCGAAGCCACATCAACAACCGATGAACACGTGGAAAAAGTGAAATGAATGGTTATAAACGATCGCCGAATCACAATCAGAGAAGTTAGCAATGATGTTAGCATATCGATTGACTCATGCCCCGAAATTTTTTGGGTATGAAAGCAAAATTTATTCCAAAATTGTTGAATTTTGAACAAAAACAGTGACGAATGGAAGTTTCTCAGAAGTCAGCGACGATGCAGAATTACTGAAACGTGTTATAACAGGTAACGAAACATGGTTTTCGGATATGATGTCGAAACTAAGGCTCAATCGTCTCAGTGGAGGCATTCTGGATCGCCAAGACCGAAAAAGGCTCGGCTGCTCCATTTGGCTCCGTGTAATTTTTCCCTATTTCCAAAAATAAAGGGAATCTTAAAGGGCCGTCATTTTACAAGCACAGATGACATTAAAAGCGCCACGCTGAAGGAGCTAAGGGCTATCCTAAAGATCCAGTTTCAGAAGTGCTTCGAGGATCGGAAGAAATATCTAATGGGGACTATTTTGAAGGCGACAACATTAATGTAGACGAACAAATAAATATTTTATATTTTTTACCTGAAACCGTCAAGAAAATCTAAATTTCAGGGCTATTTTGACATTAGAAAGTTGATCTTTACCTGCCTAGTACCATAATATAACAATACTATGCTAGTACTGTAATATTTTTGCCTGACTCCCATTACAGTCTTAGTACATGCAAAATAACAATTAGATCGTTCATTGAATAAGTTATTCAACGATTGGATAATTATAATGCAGACTATGTCGATATTTTTAAATATTAATATACCTACACAAAGGATAATGGTTTTTAATTGCTAACAATTAATGGAATATGTGTGGAAGTAATTATTCCTTTAGTTTTGCGCCAGTCATTAAAAAGTTTGTACGCCTTTTCGTACCTCTTTCTTGATTTTGTGGGGAGCGAATATTGCACTACGGCCACCGCAGCTTCGGCTACATTATAAAAACGTCTCGCGTGGGTACTCTTCTTCACTGAAACCTGCTTTTGTACCTAGTTATAAAGACTGTATAGTTGAAAAGTACAAAGCATAAACTACAAACTGCATTAAAAATGACACTGATTGTTTTGTTTATTTTGAAATCTCTATGGAAACAATTAAATAAAGTGTTTTAGCATGCCTAGTGATTAGGTATCAAAATTCCACACATATGAATAATTTAATTTGGAAAAGTGATCTACATGTTGCGGTTTCAGGTAAAATTTTATACATAATACGTCATGAAAGTGAGTCCACCTGACTTGGAGGCATTAAAGAGATACTCGTACTTTTCAATAAGCCTCCGCGTCATATAAACGACCACTTTCATGACTTATTATGTAAATAACTGTTACCCATCCCACGTCCACGTCCCATCGTCCTGAAACATTCATTTTCATGCCTACTTTCTGTCAGGAAATTTAAATTTCCATGACAGAAGCAGAGCAGACTACGTTTCCTGCCGCTTGTCACTTTACCAGCCGCACAGTCACTTTACCGGCCGCATTTGTGACATTTCCAAATGTCTATAATGACTCCTGTCATCACTGACAGATTGACATTAATCAAAAGTTCTATATACAAATTGAAATTTTATATTAAAATACGATTTCGGGTAAAGTTTAATACAAAACTCGTCAGTAAAATGACATTACTTGACTCAATATTTCCTCGCCAGTCATGTGTCATTTTCCTGACTTTTATGTAAATAACTATAACAAAAATTCCCGTTATTTTTGAACTCGTATATACAACCCTTAATTTTTACATAAATAAAATAGCGGTACCTCATCCAAAAAATGTCCAGATGACGAGGTTCATACAAAAGTAGGCTCAAGACGGTCGTCCTTCCAACGGCAATTAAACAATTAGGGGCTGCATATTGGAACTTTTCGTCAGCAAACTTCTTAGATAGATTATTTGTGTTTATGGATTGCAGCACACAAGATTTTTAACTGCCAGAGGAGTGTAGGACTAATTTTCTTAAAAGTTCTAAATGCGTTTTGTATTAGCGTAAAAGCAGAAATGTCCACCACCCAAGAGGTCAAACCCGTCTTTGATATTGTTGCATACTCGCCGGAATAACTGTCAGCAATAGGAGCAAAAAAATATACGACACAGGCACGTTTAAATGATTTGTCCTCGACTGAATATGATAATTTGCCTACCGAACTGCTTAAGTATTTTATCGCCTTGTCTTTACACAATAATCCCTTTATTTAGCGTGGATAAAGACACGTTAGAAGTAATTCACTTCTGGCTGTTAAGTCATACAAACTGTAAATGCATGAAACTCGAATTTCAAGAATTCCCGCAATCACAACTTGGTTTCGCCCACTTTCGTAAGGGGCTACATCAGGAATAGAAACAAAATTAATTTTTTATTGTTATATTATTTATATATATTTATATATTGACACGGTCCTGCCCCTTCTGATGCCTAAAAGACTGAAAGTTTCACCATGGGAATTCCCGCACATTTCTTGGCTGTTTGAATCGTAAAGCAAAAACTATTAATCTGAACCACACAAGGAATGCGTGAGTAATCCAGAACCGAATTCTTTTTATTTTTTTCTGATGCGAGCCCCGCCGTGAACAGAACAAATTTACTTTCGGACTACACACTGCTTGCTCTGGTAGCCCGGAACCGAATGAAAACTAATGATCCCTACCTATTCTTTTTAACTAAATAACGCCTACAAAAAGGCTGCTTTAATAACGAAAACGATTCGTTTCTTTCGTTCCTGCCCTACGAATTAAACGAATGGCAAGGTGATAACATCCCACGTATGAGTAAATATGCTACATTGGTATTGTGTGTGTGAGGGTAAGGCAGTGTAGCCTTTAAGCACCTAATCCTCTAAGTACTTTTGTGCTGCCCTTACTCGTTTTAGAGTAGTTTTAGCCGATTGAAGAAGCTAATTAGTGCTCGGAGGTTTAGTTCCCCTATCTTGTGCGGTTTCAGCTTGTCCCCCCGTCGAGGCCATTTAGCCTTTCCTCGGCAAAATGTGTTTAGCCGTCTTTCTGCCTGTCCATAAAGCCTGCATGTGGCCTCCGCCGCTACACCAATTATGTAGATGGTATTTAAGCAGTATATAGCCTGTACCGAAGGTCCTTTTTATTGTATGCTGAATTTGAGTACTTTTAGAGCGAGCGATTGTTTAGGGGAGGGGGGGGGGCTCTTGACATTACATCTATAAGCTTTTACCTACATGATCCATGTAACAGATAAACAACTTACACTACAATAAAGACAGACAGACAGAAAACAGCCATATAAATCATTGTAAAAGCTTCTGACAATTCTGAATTTAATTTAGAGACGGCAAAAATAGCAAACTTAGGTTCTGCCGTCGCAATGGTTTCCATAGAAACAACATTGTCATATGTTCTGAAGGTCATTTTATATCGTACATTTGAAAAAAGATTGACAGATGTCATTAGAAGGCACAGTCATTTGTTTCACTCTACCCTTACCGTTACAGTGATCACTTTATCTATCCTTACGGTTAAAGAACGGCTTAGCCTACTCATTCAAACCTATGAAAATGTCAATTTAACATAATGCTATAAAATAAAAGATTGGAGTATTTTGAGAACAGCAGTTTAAACTTTTGGATGTACACCAGAAGTCTCTTCGTCATGTATTTTCGTCTCAGTTTTTGTCAGATAATGCATCTTCAAGTCCGTCGATGGTCATAGTCGTTGCGTACGAAATAAAAATTTAAATGTATCTTCGCAAGATTTTTTTATCGTTTCCTATGCTACGCTACGCCACTGTATGAGAATATCTCTTTTTTGTCGCCTTCTTGCCCATTTCTAGGATTATGCGGGCATCCATTGCC